TTAAAGATTCGATTTCAGACACACCAGCTTCAGTGGAATGGTGAAAACTAGTCAAGATCAAGGGGATGTCCTATGAAAAGGTGGTGAGGGAGTAGAACAATCAGGGTGGACTCTAATTTCAGACATCTGGCAAACGGAGGCGGAATACAAATGAGCAGAGAGAGAATTTTAAGTTGAACAGAATACTTCTGTAGGGAAGGAGAGAGGTGCAATGAAGAAAGATCAAACACTCAAGTGGGAAAGAAGATGAGAGCTAGGGAAAGATCTCCTAGGACAAAGGAGAGCACAAGATCAAAATCAAAGGGATAAGAGGCCCTGGACTGAACAGGCTTCATATTAACTTTGCTATTAAATATTTAATTTGGGGCAAGTCACTTAATTTTCTGAATTCTCTCATCTGTAAAGTGCATATAAAACTTATAAGATTACGGATGTGTAAATAACATAACTTTGCTAAATACCTGACAGACAGTATACCACTGTAAAATAAGTATGTTTTATTAAATTTAGTGTGTGTGTGTGTGTGTGTGTAGCAGCTGTATAAGAGTGGAGCACCCTTAGCCTTGAGTGGTGGAGGTGTGGAGACTGGTTTCCCCTGAGCAGAAACAGGTGGATCCCCCCTCCCCCCGCAGGGAGTGGGCGTTACCCAATGGGAGTGGGCTGCCTTCTTGTTCCTTTGTAATACTACCCTATACCTTTTTCGGATGGAATGTTCTATCGAATGGCTCTCTTCAATAAAAACCAGGGTTCAGGGTGTGCTCACTCTCTCTTGCCAGCCTTTCTGTGTTTTTCTATTGTCCCCCCTTGTGGGAGCTTACAGTTGGAGGTGGAGAAGCCATCCTGAAATGCCCCAAGTAAAAGGTATTTTCTGTGTCTGTGTGATTGTGCCAGCCCAATTCACCCAAGTGACCCTCGGTCCAAAGCCCCCACAGGATGTGGGCTACAGGGCTACATATATATACACACATTTACAGAATGTATGTATTATAGAATTGTATAGGTTTCCTAGGGCTGCTATAACAAAATGTCACAAACTGGGTGGCTTCACAGTAATTATTCTTTCATAGTTCAAGAGGCCAGAGGTCTAAAATCAAGGTGTCAGTAGGACTGATACCTTCCATTGACTCAGAAGGTGAATGAATCTGTTCTGTGCCTCTGGTAGTTGTTGGCAATCGTTGGCTTTTGTTCCTTTGTTTGTAGCAGCATAACTCTAATTTCTACCTGTATCACCTGGCAATCGTGCTGTGTAGCCCTGCATGTCTCATCTTTTTCTAAGGACACCTGTCATACTGGATTTAGAATCCAACCTACTCCAGCTCAATTTTGACTAATTACATCTGCAAAGACTCTATTTCCAAATGGGGTCACATTTTTAAGGTTTTTGTTTGTTCGTTTGTTTGGTACCAGGGATTGAACTCAGGGGCATTCGACCACTGAGTCACATCCCCAGACCTATTTTGTATTTTATTTAGAGACAGGGTCCCACTGAGTTGCTTAGCACCTCACCATTGCTGAGTCTGGCTTTGAATTCATGATCCTCCTGCCTCAACCTCTCGAGCCGCTAGGATTACAGGCTTGCGTTACTGTACTCAGCACATTTTTAAGTTTTTAAGTTCTACATTGAAATAAATTTTTAAGGTTTGAAGGGACACTATTCAACCTAACATAAGAAATATATTGTTAATATCTGTATTTTGCCTTTTCTTTTTTTTTTTTGGTACTAGGAATTGAACCCAAGGGTACTTTACTATAGAGCTATATCTTCAGTCCTTTTTACTTTTAATTTTGAGATAGGGTCTCACTAAATTGCTGAGGCTGGCTTTGAACTTGTGATCCTCCTGCCTTGGCCTCCTGAGTTACCGAGGAGATTACAGACATGTACCACATGCTTGGCTTTTATCTCTATTTTTATAATACCTTCAATAGACTACTTTTAGAATAGGAACTAAAGCTTAGACCTTATAACAAAAGATAATAGTTGAGAGCTCAGGTCATGGAATTTGAATCCTATCTATTACTCTTTCCTGTCAGTTTTCTCATCTGATTAATAGGTGAATATTGCTTCCAAGTGTTTTGGGGTCAATTATATGATATATGAAACACACTTAGCATGATACCTGGCCCAAAGGGTAATATTGGGCTCATTCAGTGCAGGTTGACACATGGTAAAAAGGTGGAAGTTGAGGTTACTGTTCCAAAAAGAGTCATCGTTATCATATATTTACAGGCTACACGTACCATTTGCAGAGCCAGCTGCATTGCTCTGACTTAACACTTTCCTGCCAAGATTTCTCCACACCTGGTTATTCAATGCTAAGATGAATGATTTACCACTATTGTTGACTCACATTCCACAGAAACACTGGATCACTTACCATTGTCCCTCAATGTTTGTCATTTCAGTTTGTCCATCAACTCTATAATCATTTTACTACTACACTTTAAAAAGTAATCACTTAAACGTCATCATCTTCTTGTTTTGTTTTTTGTGGTGTTGGGGATCGAACCCAGGGCCTTGTACATTCGAGGCAAGCACTCTACCAACTGAGCTATATCCCCAGCCCCCATCATCTTCTTTTTTGAACAAATAATTTAAAATATATAAGATAATATTTAAAATTTCATAAGTTTAATATATTAGCTCACTAAACCTTTATAAGTCTTTTTTTGTTTTGTTTTTCATACACCATCTTTTATTCAATAACATGTCTTGAAGAGAATTTTAAGCTATTAATAAGCCAGCCTTTAAAAAGATTGCTTTTGGTAATGGGGATTGAATCCAGGGTATAACTCTTTCAGTAGAAAACTGAGTGTTTTGCCTGGTGCATGGCACACACCTGTAATCCCAGCAACTCAGGAGGCTGAGGCAAAAGGATCCCAAGTTTGAGGTCAACCTGGGCAAGTAAGGAACACCATCAGCAACTCAGCAAGACACTCGCAAAATAAAAAGTCTGGTGATGTGGCTCAATGGTAAAGCACCTCTGGGTTCAATCCAAAGGAAGGAAGGAAAGAAAGAAGAGAAAAGATCAGAAAACCAAGTATTTTACCACAGTTTTTAAAAATGAAGAAATTAATGTTCTGTATGGTTACATAACTAAAACACTGTTCTTGTTTTGTTTTGTTTGGTACAAGGATAGAACCCAGGGGTGCTTAACCATTGAGCCACATCCCCAGCTCTTTTTTATTCTTTATTTTGTGGCAAGGTCTTGGTAAGTTGCTGAGGGCCTCGCTAAGTTGTTGAGGCTGGCTTTGAACCTTCAATCCTCCTGCCTCAGGCATGCGCCACTACGAGATGTGATATAATTATAACTTCTACAGCACTTATATATATTAGCCATATTCTAGGAATTCATTGCAGATAACCTGGTAACAAAATTAAAAAAAAATTAATCAATAGTCGCTGTTGGTGGTAAGTTATTGTCTTATTTATAAAAAAGACTTAGCTACTATACCTTTGAATAAAGTTAAACTTGACCTGACATATAGATTGCTAAAATCTATGTCTTCTATTGGTTTGCTTGAATTAACACTCAATTCTTTGCCATTCATAAAGCCCTTCTGAATCATGAGTTCTAATTCTTGTATTCAATTGATTTTTATGGAGAGTGTACAAATATAGCAAAGTAGTATTCTTTAACACTGTTCCTAGTCCTCAAACAAGCAAAAATTCTCAAGACTTTAAGACAGTGATTTTTAAGAATTTTTTTATGCTCTTGCTTGTTATTAACTGCATGGATAACTAGGCAGATAGGAAATTTTTTTATAAGTCAATTTGTAAAATCAAGACAAATTGCATTAATTTAAAAATTTAGGAAGCCCAAGCTTGTGTACCAACTACCTGAATCTAAAGAAAACAAACACAACAAAATTCTTGGCAGTTAATTACAAGTTACATATGCTTTAGATTTAGTGTTTTGGATCTATTTGTATTTCAGAGTGTAACAACACCATCCTTTTGGTTTAATTTATAATAAGTGCAGTAATTTCCATCTATAACAGCTATATATTACATATAAGGAAATACTTAAAAAGAGGTCTTGGTGCATGTACACAAAGGACAAGTCTAAACTGCTTTTCTTTCTTCTGAATTCACTGGGAAATGAACTAGAAAGTTCTACATCTCTAATTTCTGTGACGTGATATGTTAGCCTGGTCTTCCACCACATAAAAATTTATAACAGAACACAGATTTTATGAGTTTGTGGCTTGACCAAATTTCCTTTTTTAAAATCGTGGACATTTGCAGATGAAAATAATTCCCGTTCCTTTTTAAATTGCACTGTAGAAAAATAAAAATATAAACACTTTGCAGATTTCAGAACATTCTAAACCCCAGAACTCTTTAATGATACAAACCCACATGAATTCAGCAATTTGGAGATTTAGTATAAATAGTCACCCCTTTGTAGTAGGTTTGTTAAAGATAAAGCAGTTCAGCACATGTTCCCACAAAGCATTTGGGAGTCTTAAGTTCGAGCTTCAGAATTCCTTCTGAAAAGGACAAAAGAGAGACTTCCTGTCATTTCCATTGGTTTCTGCATGTGGGACCAATATGGGCAATGCAAAGTTTAAACAGATGCAAATGGTGAGGGGAGGAGGCAGTGTCATGCCTTGTTTTACATATTTCTCCACATCCAGGCTGAATTTAAGTCACTCTCCGCAGAGCTTCCAGAGTAGACTTCCCACTGAAGTTACTGCACGCTTGAATGGTCTATTTCACCAATATTTGCTTATGGAAATAAAGGGGAGTGACTGGGGAGGGGGCAGGGAGGAGGAGATGAGTGGAGGAGGGGTTTGAGGCTGAGGGAGCCTCTGACCACAGCACAGCGCACCAGTAACCTTGTCTGATGTGATCATTAACCTTTCTGGAAAATGCAGCTGGCAGTCCTCTGAGGTTTGTCATTAGAATGTGAGGAGAGCCACACAGATATTGCACAGACTATTTACAGATTGTTTGGTTTACTTTAAGAGCTATTACTCCACTTGCCTGTGGCAGGAAAATGAGATTTCAACAATTTTTGTGTGTGTTTTTAATTTTTGTGATGAGTCTTCTCCTAATCAACGGACAGAGACCAGGTAGGACTTTCATACATTTGTATGGAGTAACTTGTTTTTATGCCTGTTTATGTCTGTGGTTCTGAGTACAACTGTATTTATGTTGAGAGAGTTGCTTAGGCGTGTTTGCAATAATATTGGGGGTAAATGTGTAGGATTTCTGAAGTAATGCGATCCTGCTGGTGACAGGATAGATCAGAATATATGAAAAAGCAATTGTATGTTGAAGTATTGCTAAATATTTTACCACTATTTTTCTAAATGCAAAGAAAATCTAAATCTAAGCTATTGTAGATGGGCTGTTCTTACAAATAGAAAGAAATGCAAATCTTAGTTTATTAATTAAAGAGTTTAATAAATCAACAACTTTTAATTAGAATGCAAAATTCAGAGCAGTTTCATCCAAAGAGCATGTAGCTGGCAGAGGAGAGCAATGTTAACTGAGTGTACAACATGTAAAAATCATAGCATGGCAAATGTAGATGAAATCATAAAATGAGTCAATAGTTGCAATTTCTAGTTATGTAATAGGTAGATCACCTAAAACAAAGAAAGCACAGTTTGTAGTATTGTGTTTATAGAGCCAAAAATGTGCATGATCAAGACATATAATATTAAATTTACCTGACATCTTTTTCAAGAATGTGTTATATTTAACCAACAGGAATTTAGTAGACAAAATTATTTGAATGCATTTTTACTTCAAAGCCAAATGACTTAGATTTTAAAGTACCAGTAGGTAAAAAATTTAGAAAGTTAAAGTTTTCTGACACACAAAAACTGCAAACCCAAGCTTTAATAGAAAGGTGATAATCCAAAGGTTATGTTTACTTGATAATGTACTTCTTCAGTAGAACAGAAATGGTACATAACTTGTTAAAAACTCAGACTTTTAGTTAATTAGAAGTTTGATTGGCATGAGGTTATTTCAAATGATGTCCCAGGCTGTCCTTTTACATAAGTAAGAAAAACAGTCCAAGTCAGCAACTCAGAAAGCAGCAACTGCTATTCAAACCATTTCTTCTTTTCCAAAATACCAAACACTGGGCAATGTTCTGTGATTAAGTTCCTATATAAAAGAATATTTAGGAAGAAATTACATGAAAGGAGGAGGATATTACTATTAAGATCTTGCTATTAACACTGTTAGGAATCTACTTTGTGTATATGCATCAGATTATTTATGCTACAATCATCTATGAACAAATGGCAAATAACCACAGAACAGTTTGACTGCAAATACAATTTTATATTCTCCAGATTATACAAATTGATTTTTTTAAAAAGGCTCCTAATCCTTATTTTTCCTTCCTTTAGCTAATTTGGCCCTAAGAAGAAAACTGCACAGACATAACTGTCTTCAGAGGAGATGTATGCCTCTCCATTCCCGAGTCCCGTTCCCCTAAGGTATTTATGATAGAAAATTGTTTTACTGCATTTAGTTACCTATTCCAAAAAAATGCATTTTTGCATTTTGTAATATGTAATTATAATTTATGATGACATAAAAGTTTCAGGAATGTGTACTAATGAATGAAAGAGGGAATTGATATGATGTTTGGGAATTACTTGCATAGTTAAAGAAGAAGATAGACTAGAGTAAAAGAAATCTTGATATTGTTGAACCTAAGTGATAGTCAATACTCTTGTATGTGGTTGAAAATTTTCATAATTAAAAAATCAGACATCAGGAGAATTTAATTATAAACAGTATGTTTCAGGGTTTTAAAAAACATTGAAAAACACATTTTCCATTTAGACCTCTATGTACTTGAGAGCATTTGGACATATTTACCGAACACCACTATAACAATACCAACACTTCCAAATTTCCAGCCTCAACACTTCCAAATTTCACATATAAATCAACTTAATGTTAATGGCATGGCAGCTTTCCAGCCTCACTAACAGTACTGGTCTTGATGACTGCATCTTTAAGAATAAATTCAGAATAGAACTTTGCTCCTCCTTTTTTGTTTTATACTCACTAAAAAGCCAATGATTTTACCACCTCACTTCAGTAATACTACTGGCATCAGTCTTCAAACAGTGCCCAGGTTTAAGTCATTTCACTCTAAAAACTAACTTGACATCCTATTGTAATTATTTTAAGCTCTTTGGTTCATTTAAAATATGTCTTCCTAAAGAAAATACATAGAAATATCCCACAGCTGGTTAACATACACAGGCATTTGCTAAATTAGCTTTTTCAACTGGTCTGTAAACTCTAGCTTTTATGGCTTTGCTCATTCAGTGCAAAGAATATGTGCTTTTCATACCCAGTGGAAGCCTTGTAGTAGGAAATTAAATGAAGTGATAAGCATTTATCAGAGGACTGAGACAAAAAGCCAAGATATCTATGCCTTATCTGCAACAAATTACTCTTTGCTATCGAAAAATGTAAAGTAGGTTGGGTGGAAGAATCCAGAAAGATACAGTGGGGGTTGCTGAGAAGAAGCCAATTCACAGTGACAGAAATATGCTTTAAAAGGATTACTATGTTAAAATATCCTTTGGTGTGCGTCAGCGTTTCCAGCAGTGTTTCCACCTATGTAGGTGAGACTGAAAAGCTGGGCTTATAAGGAGTGAAGAACTTCCAGATTTTCCCAGCACTCCTCTGTAAATAACAAAGAGGAGAGGAGGCATTTCACAATTGCAAGAGAATTCCTGTATATACAAAGATGCCTTTCAAAATACAAACACAAGTCCTTAGTTAGCCATAGATTATTTTGGCTTTCACCTCACACAACCTACCATAAAAACTGAGCTACAAGTAAACAAGATAAGAGTAGTGAAATTTGAAAACGTAAGGGAAATTTTGACTTGCAAACCAAAGGGGAATTTAAATACAAGCTATATAAACCTTTTAATAATAACAGTCCTTCACAAAAGCTAGCTGATAGTTTTGTAGAACTGCTCAGGTTACACATCCATTTTTAGTGTTTAGGCTAGTCCTAGACCCAGCTACAGTTCTGTGAAGACTGTATGAAAGTCACCTGTTGGAATCTAGTGATTATTATAATAGTCAGTGGAAGATAAACATTAAGGTAATTCCTCAATGTCTTAGTCAGAACTAAAAAGTACTGCCTTCAGATTTGACAACACACTTCTCACTGTCCTGAATACTGTCTCACTTTCTATGTCTTGAAAAAAAGCCACTCTGACAAGTAGGTAAAGACCCAAATAGGATCTAAGTAGTGGACTCTAAGGCAAAAACCACCCTTTCATTTCTCCCTTTTTCTACATTTTTTAGATAAAATCACATGTGGTTGATTCAGCTAGGGTTAAGTGAGACTGTAAAAAGATAAACAATTGACTTTGGAAGTTCTCCAGATTAACCCATTAGAGTGATTTTGACCTTTAGCTCATTTGATCAAATGACTTATCTTTACTCTGTATATTGTCTTTTTTTTTTTCTTTCTTTCTTTTGTGGTGCTGGGGATTGAACCCAGGGCCATATGCACACAAGACTGAGCTACATCCCCAGTCCTGCTCTGCATATTATCTTTACTCTGTTCCTTTTGCAGGCTCCTAGAGTCCTTCTCAGTGATCCTCAGCATGATTTCCTACTTTATATAACTGAGTCAATTAAATAGAAGACCTATGCTGCTTACAGGGCATTTCCTTGATATTTGTTTTTCAAAGAAATGTTTTAACATTACCTTCAGCTCTGAGTGAGAAGAGCAATAGGAGAAGGGATGTCAGGAAACGGGAACTCACAGATTAATGAGGGAACTACAGAGTGGGAAATAAAACAGGGGCTTAAAATTCAAATATCTTCCCTCTGCCAACTGTACTATCTCATTACATCAATGCCTTTATTTATAAATATGCACTCTAGATAACTACATACCCTATTAGTAATACTCTATTCAGTTCTTTCTTTTTTTCTTTTTTAGGTACCAGGGATAGAACCCAGGGACATTTTGCCATTGAGCTATGTCCTCAGCTCTTTTTATTTTTAATTTTGAGACAGTCTCACTAAGTTACTTAGGGCCTTGCAAAATTGCTGAGGCTGGCCTCAAACTTGTAATCCTCCTCCCTCAGCCTCCAGAGTCTCTGGGATTACAGGCATGCACCACAGTGCACAGCCTCTATTTTTTCTTAATATTTATTTTTTAGCTAGGATTATAGCTCAGTTGGTAGAGTGCTTGCCTTGCAAGCACAGGGCCCTGGGTTCAATACCCAGGACCATAAAAAAAAAAAAAAAGTTATTTTATCTATTTTTATGTGGTGTTGAGGATTGAACCCAGAGCTTCGCATGTGCTAGGCGAGCGCTCCACTGATAAGCCACAACCTCAGCACCTCTCAATTTGGCTTTTTAATAACAGTTGCAATGCTATGTTCATGTTAGAAAAGTTTATTTCTAACAGTATAAACGAATATAAAGTCAGAAGTAAAAGTTCCTTGCCCTCGCCTATCGTTTATTTTCATTTCCTAGGCGTAATGGCTTTGAAAATGTACATGGTAATACACCATTTTAAATTACTTTTTTTCAAACTTGCTTTCCATTCAAAATGTCTCTAGTTCTCTATTTTGTATCTTATTCTCACCTCCTTGATCAGACCTCTGCTCTGCCTCCCAGCTCCTTCTCTAGTCATCCTATTGGCCTGCCATTTCTCACCCCATTCTGTCTGTGGGGCTTCCTGAAGCCCAGCTCTGCCTTCAGCACAGATTTCCACTTCAGTGAAACACTTCATCTCCAACATTAGCAGGTCTCTGAGGAAGAACTCTTCTGCTCATTTTTTAAAATCTATGATATTCAACCAGCTATATTTCAAACATTTGGTCACCTCTAGTTCCCTTTTTTGTTTTGTGTTTGTTTGTTTTGCAGTGCTAGGGCTCAAACAATCCAGGGGCCCACGTGCTAGGTGAGCACTGTTATACACTGAGCTACACCCCCAACTAGCTTCCTTATAGCACTTCTAACTTCCTCTTCCAACTCACAACAGGAAAAAACTCCTTTTCGTGGAGAAAAGGAAGATTATGAAGCATCTGTGACCCCATAGTGCTCTCTAGTGACCAGCCCATGATCTTCTCACAGGCAAATTTCTTGAAATAGAGGCTGTTTTCTTTTCCTCGCATTTCACTCTGAGAAAATTCCTGTAGACTTCCTTCTGAATACAGTTCAGTTCTGATTTGTTACATCACTATAGATCAAGTGGTGGAACGGATTTTCCTTGGCTTCCATGATACCATGCTTCTTTTTGTTTTTCCCTGGAACAAATGACTATTCTTTTTAGGACCCATATGGGTGGCCAAATGCCTCCTTGGAATCACCTTAGCTGCTCTATAGGCACCTCGGGCCCATGTCCATAGCATACGGGCAAATCTCTACTATGGCTTCTCTCAGACTTTTTCTTGCATCTGTTTCCTGTTCCATTATCATATTCAGGAAGACCTTCCCTGATAACTCTTCTTGTGAAATGACAATACCTTGCCTCACTCAAGATACCCCATCCCCTGGTTTGCTTTCTCCATAACACCCATTGTCATCTGGCACATGTAACATATATTTACTTTGTTATTAGGTTTAGTATTTGCTTCTCTTCATTACAAGATAAGTTCTATGAGAACAGAGATTTCCCTCTGGTCCCAGCTGTGTGCCCACTGACTATAGTAAGCTTTCTAGAAATATCTGATGAATGGGGCTGGGGGTGTGGCTTAGTGGTAGAGCACCCCTAGGCTCAATCCCCAGTACCACAAAATAAATAAATAAAATAAACTGTAAATCCAATCATGTTACATCTTGATGAATATTGTTAACTTCCCCCATGACTTTCAGAACAAAGAGAACTGACATAATTTGGCAAACATCACTGATAAGGTGTACCTCTCCAGTCTCATCTATCACCTCTTTCTTTTCCCCTCCCGTTTACCAAAGGGGACAAAAACTAAGACTGTTTACACCATCTGAATTCAAGCTCTGGCCACATAGCTCATTCTGGTGAACACGGGCAATTCACTGACCTTCTCCAACTCTCCTTCCCCTTCTACATCTGCAGAATGGAACTAGTTATGTACCTGTCTATCATAAGACAATGTGGGCACATAATGAGTGCTAAATAAATAGTACCTAGAGTTCTTATTGTTGTTACTTCAAAAACAATCCACTCTCCACCTCTTGCTGCTCTTCAAGCTACACTTCTGCCTATTCTTTACTTTACTATCATTCATCCTACAGGATAATTCCCTTGATTTTGATACCCCACCAATTTTATTAAATGCTCATTTTTTGCTTTCAGAGCATTATTTGCATACTTTCTGTCACAGTGCTTGATCCGCTATATAGTAATGTGTTAACTGACTGTACTCTACTCCCACTCCTCTACCCTGCCCTCTGTATACTGTGAATTCCCGGAAGGGTGGGTTTTATTTATTTTCATATCTGCAATCCAATAAAGTG